ATTTTCCTAGAAGTTTAATTTTACTGATCCAGGTCTACAACTGGGAGATCCGGCACCACTCATTGGTTTGTTGCTGTGGACTTGCGACATTTTATATATGTCTGACAGCTGGCGATCATGTATACTTGCTCGGGTGTATCATCCGCAAAGGTTGAATACAGTTACTAGGGACAAGAGATTATTCTCTTTTGCTAAGGATAAACCTTTAAAAAAGGGATTGTAATTTTTCAAACGAAATAACTTTAATCAGAACAACCATATCAAATGATGCCTTCTGAGTCAACAGGAACCTTAACGCACCATAAATTATGTAAATTTAAAAAACGATTTGAAGAAATGTGTTCAAAAGTAATTTTGTGGTTGCTCTGCTAAATAAACCCCTAACAAATTGATTTCTTCCAATACTTTAAAAAGCCATTTTTACTTGTAGAAAATGTACTTATTTACGTTGTCAGCTGAGCTTATTTCCTCATCGAGAGAGCACGGAAAACCCCGAATGAACTTATTTTCGTCTGGGGTACATATCGTGAGGTCAACACCAGACGTTTAATCGATGAAACGAAAATCGATAATGAGTATCGTGGGAACAAGGAAGAATACTTGTTTTTCTATAGGTTTAAAGGCACTGAGGAGAGCTGCCGATCTCGTATACTTGCTCGAGTGTATCACCCGCGAAGGTTGAATACAGTTACTAGGGACAAGAAATTATTGTCTCCTGCTAGGAGTAAACCTTTGAACAAGTGATCTTAATTTTACAAACGAAATAACTTTAATCAAAACAATCATATCAAGGAGGATGCCTTCTGAGTCAAGAAACCTTAACGCACCTCCAATTATGTAAATTTGAAAAACGATTTGAAAAAAAGTTTTTAAAAGTAAGTTTGTTGTCGGCTCTGCTAGATAAACCCTAACAAATTGATTTCTTCCAATACTTTAAAAAGCCAAAACTACTTGTAGAAAATGTATTTATTTACGTAGTGAGCTGAGCTTATTTCCTCATCGAGAGAGCACGGGAAACCCCCAATGAATTTATTTTCGTCTCAGTGGAACCTTTTATGCATGAGGTCAACAGGAAGAAGTCTGACTTGTCATAAATTAGCGGCCCTTTGTACCTTAGTCTGATCACGTAGTCAGCACTGCAGGAAGTAAAAGTAAGAGAAAGAAAATGAGGCTTTATATTGCTAAAATAACAAGTGTTTGAATTTTGCCATATTAGTCGCTACCGAATGCAACGATGAACTAAACTGGTTTTTCAGTTTTTCGACAGGGTTTCTCAGGGTCAGTACCTCTCAAGTTTGAGCATTAACTACGTCGCCATAAACAAAGACTTGGAAAAATTGCTACCACACTTGTACTAGATAACGATGAAGCTTTGTTATGATTAGGGTTGCAATAACATCGGAGTTGTCATAGCAACGAAATGACGCCATTACCTATTTTTCTTGCAGCAGTATTTCTCGGCCCCCTGGGAACTGATCTTCCAAAATCAGCCAGACAGCCAGCCACGTACAGTTAGGTCTGGGCCGGGGCTCCTTTCTGACACCTAACAAGACGCCAAGCCTCGGCTACCCTGTATTGAACGTAAACATACATATTTCAACTCGCTGTTTGTGGGTTATCTCAATTCCTATTAAGTCCTATTCAAGAATAAGGCAGGGTTTGCTTTTATGCGAGATCAATTACCTGTACCCTCCGATATTTTCTGCCAATGGTAATAAAGTTTTATATTTCTTGCTTTTTTTAAAAAAAAAATATGATAAACTTAATACACTCTTTTTAAATTTGTAAAAATAACCATAGAAAGTGAAAGGAAATTAAGCAAAACTTTAGCCGGTTAGAAACAAACTATTTGCGGGTATCAGGGAACCTAAATTATCACAGGGTATAGACTGAATTAGAATTCAGTAAGCCACTGGGTAGGGTTTCACCGGGTCTGTTACAGACGGGTGATTGTGAATCGACAGCTTCTTTTCTGACACAACGACTTGGTTGAAACATGGTATATAAATAAGGCTCCTGGAATGGAATAGATTATCACAGGTAAAAATATATATACATTTATTTTAAAGAAAGAACCGTCGGTGCGAGCGACTTTACAACAGGTAACAATTGACTGACTCAGCAGGTAAAAATGTAAAAGCTGATCTTCCTTCACTGAACATCATGTGATACGTCAAACAAAAAACAACCGATTACTGATTTATAATTCTTGTTTGAATTGAATCGGTTTCCTGGAACATCAGTCAGCCTTCTTTTAGTGGTAAAAGACCAAAGACGTCCTTTAAAGATGACATTGACTTTCCCTAAAATTGCCCGATTTTTTATATTAGCTGTAGTCACACTACATACTTTTTACTTAGGTAAATTCGACTTGTTGACAGTTCACCTAGGGAAACTTGATTTTTAAAGTGTGACCGATTTCTCCCTAGGTAACTTACCTCGGAGAAATTTTATCATCCTGGGTCTTGGATATGTCTCGAGAACAAAAGAGTTTCCCTTGGCAGCTACACCAAAGCGACAGATCGACGAAAGTCTTGATGAGAGAACCAGACAACTGAAGCTCACGCTGTGAAAAAACAATTTGTGGGGCACGAGTCGTCTAAATCTTCGCCTTTCTTCACCTTGCACGTTGAATTAGCGTAAGAAATAACAGTGAGATAAAAGAAAAAAACGTCTCTTTGATCAGCTAGATCCCTGCGCATCTTGCCTTCTCAAATTTACACTCCAAAAAATTCAACTGGCGTGAAAACCTTGAGAGCCAATATCAGTAGTGTGACCTTCCCAGAATTTTTCACCTAGGTAAAACAAAACCCGAGATGAATTTTCCTCGGGAGTTTTTTGATGAATTTGCCCTAGGTAATGCACCTATCAATGTTATGCCCGGGGGGGTTGGGAGGCAGGGAAGGGGGTGGGGATTTGATTGTCTTTGTTGGCCACGGCGTAAGGCATTTGACTGATCTTGTTCTCCCAGGGGAGGGGATATTTAAATCTTTCTTCGCCCGGAGTGGAGATATTTGACTGCCGACTCGGACGAAAAAGACTGAGACCGAACATATGTTTCCACTTCCACGCTTCACTAATGCGCCGTGGAAATCATGGAGGCCAACAAGAACAAGCGAAAGCTGGGTAGATTTCACTGTTTTGTCTTCAAATGTTTCGTTTGTTTTAGCGTGTTTTTGATCAATTGAACCTCTTAAGATACTGTGGTATCAAAGTAAACGGAAGTAAAGAGCAACCAAGTCGATTTTTGCTAGTACAATTGATCCGTTTATGGCTCATTCGCTACAATCACTGTAAGCTTTTAAAACTGACTTTCTTTTACCCTTTACTAAGAACGGTATATTAAGACTTACAAAATGGGGACTTTCTCCTAAAGGTTTCTGTATCCTTGCTACGCAGTGTAACACGAATTATGGTTAAAAGGTATAATTGCAGCTGTAACAGGAACATGTATCTTTGGTGATGCAACAACGTAATATAAATAAAGATTGCAGAGTTTTATTTGGAGATATTTTTATTGTGCCTTTCTTGGGTCCAGCCTTGGGATATTTGACAGCAATGTGCAGCCCGGGGTGGGGAAATTATGTTGCATTTGACTGGAATGATTTGCCCATGGGCAGGGAATTTGACTGCAAACTTTTGAAATGTCAAATCCCCCCCATGCCCTGCCTCCCCGCCCCCCCCGCCGGCTTTACTCGATAGGTGCATAAATCGCTTTTACCTAAGTAAAAGACTGTAGTGTGATCTTAGCTATTGATGTTTATAGTCTCTGGAGAGACAGGTGATGATTTTAATAAGTATTGAGAGTGTTAGATATTTACTTAGCAATGATTATTCCTTACGCAGAGTGAAATTCCTATACAGTTCTTCCGTTTGTTTGATAAGAAACAGGTTTTTGCTTGCGACAGAATAATGTAAACGAATATAATGACATGCAACAGTTCCCTCAGCTTTTAGACCACTTATGTTCATATTATACCGGTGGAAAGCTTTTCGCGCCGCCACGAAAAGCTATCCTGTACAGTATGAACAACAACAGCCAGGTACCGGTAACACTGCGACAAAACGTCTTCGTAAGCGCCAGGTTGAGCATTTCCGGTCTCTTTTTCAGTCACACTTTCCTGTCAGATCAAAGTCTCCCGCGCGCTCGGCTTCATTTTGCGTGCGGCTTCGAGCTTTACTTGTTCTGCTTCATGCTGCTCTTGTTTTTGACTATTTTGTGCAGTAGTTACTGAAATTGCTTTTATGGATACCCAGGCACAGATCAATGAAACAACCAGTCGATTAGAGAAAAGGTAAGTTGATAATAACTTGTGTAATTTTGGCTATTTTGAGCAACTGGTAAACTGATTTTCTTTCACGAAAACAAAGTTTTTGAACGCCATTTTTCACTTAAAGTTGTAATTGCAAACTTGTACATTATGGTTTAATTTTCGGTTCTTCAATTTCTCAGTCTTAATGTCTTAAAAACCGCTTCGAGCTTTATTTGGAAAAGCGACAACACACAATCGATTTGTAGTTTTATTTAAGCTTACCAGTGAGTTCGTGTTTTGAAATGAGTTGATTGCCATGAAACACCTTAAGCTTAATTATACTGTTGAGGTTGGCAGCAAGTTGACAACCCTATTTCTTCAGAGAGCAAAAGCTGGTTCGATGGCTTTTAGCGAAACCTACAGACCGAAAAACGATTTTTTGCCTGTTAATAACGTTTAGTTTTCCTTGTTGATATCTTAAACTTCGAGTGCGCTCACAGACATGGTGGAGATTCTATTTTCCCGTAAAAAGTGCCCTAAAATGTGTCTAAAAATAAACTGGTCAGTAAAAACGCCGTGACATAGGCCTAGCGGTATATAGTATGGGAGTTACTCGATTTGGGTTATGGGCTCCTGGCAAATGAGAAACGTTATGCCTCTATTTCCGACCTAGGTTTACAAATCTCTGATTTAAGGTACCTTGTCACCGAAGACCATAAATTGGTGACCGATCCCTCCAGATTCTCCATGCAAAAAGAAGACGTAAATTCCGGTATCATTTCTTGACCCGCGCGTCGGTTCTATTTTCTTAAAACCCACGTCCCTGCCTACCACTTTCAAGCGTCCGAGGACTAGAAAAAAAACTGTTTGTTTGTTTGTTTTATATTACCGTACAAATGAATAGAATTGAGTTGTACTAAGGGCTTTTAGAACCGCTAAATTTTCTATTAACGAAATAAATGGCACAGTTTTCATTGTATTCTTCGAAAATCCTCCTTTTTACTTCAAGCAATAATAAATGAAAAAAGGATCATCACTACTGGTCCTAGTACCTCGGGGCGACCGTACAAATGGCATTAAATTTTCCTTGTTTTCGGACTGTCATTAAAGCGCTACGCCTCTGTTGGATAGGGAGACTTTTAAGTAATCCACATGACACTAGGACAGCAATTCCCAACTTTCACTTTGAAAAACATGGTGGACTCTTGTTTCTACTTAATTGCAATTACAGTGTCGAAAAGTTAGATAAGAAAATTCCCTTATTTTATAGGGAACTACTTGAATACTTTCAAGAATTGCGTAGCAACTGCAAAGATCCACTACAGCGCGAATTTATATTATGGAATAATAAAGATATCAACGTTGAAAACAAATCGGTGTTTTGGAAGTCTTGGCGTGATAAAAATGTCTTGTTTGTGTAAGATCTGCTGAACAATCAAGGTAATTATCTATCTCCACAAGAATTCAGTAATAAATACAACATCAAGGTTAATTTTCTGCAATACTACCAAATCATTACAGCCATTCCAGCGTCTCTCAAAAGTTACGCCTTCACTCATTTAGATCTTGGAAAACTGAACTCGATTTCTGAAAATGTCGACTTCCTGATATCTAAAGATGTTAGTTTTAACTTAAAGAAAACTTCGTGCAAGCAGTTTTACAAATTGTTTACAGAGAACATTAGTATTGAACCTACTGCGGTTACAACATGGCGAAAACATTGTACTGTGGTCGCTGACAAGTGGGAGCAATGCATTGAAAACAATTATAAAATCACTCGAGATAATAAGCTAAGACAATTTTATTTTAAATTGTTACACAGAATACTAGTTACTAACAAGGAACTGACACGCTTTGGGATAACTGCATGATTGTACTACGTGTGTTATGTGTGGCGAAAACGATTCTATAGAACATACTTTCTTTGAATGTCGCTCTTTTCTGAAATTATGTGACGAATCCCTTCAGTGGTTCAATATATCTCACAAAACCAATATTAAACTCACGCCGCTTCAAGTTTTTCTCAATTTACCAACCCCAGCTTTCAATCTTTCCAATAAACAAACCAAGGATTTGTGTCTTCTCCTGTTATATGTAAAGCAGTACCACTATGGATGTAAATCATTGCAAAAGAAAACAGACACCTCTGAATTTATATCAGCTTTATATGTATATTAATGTAATACATTAGCTTTAATATGTGTAATCGATAGAAGTATGTTAATGGCCAATACAGGAACATTTATCTAAGTGCACAATTGTAAGTATTGTAACGTACTTTTGTTTAATAAATAGAATTAAAAAAAAAATACAAATGGCATTAACTTCATTCTTTTTTGTTGCTATAGCTGACTGTGGAATGATGGGAAATCTTGTCCCTAGTCTCCCTCAGTTTGCAAGGCCTCTATTTTAATGCCTGGGACATTATTCCGCAAGATGGCTGCATGGCAGGCACCATAGTCAAAGATCGAGTTTTGTCTTGTTTACCACAAAGTCATGGCTTTTAATTTATTACTCTTTTTTCCGAACTAATACATTCACTAGAAAGTAATCTTGGAAAAACGATCCAACTTCGTGATGAAAATGCGCTTATTTTGCATATAAACTGTCAATATGATTGGAGCCTGCGTATGGAAAGTATTACGGTAGGTAGCATTCACAAAGTCGTAAAAAATGAAACTAGAATTCAAAAGGGCGCTGCGATACTTGTTTGAAAACCATTAATATAGTGCCGTGAGCTTAGACTGCACGAAAAAAAAACCCGAACCGATATTCAAAGCTGGAATCCTGTCACGCATTGATCCCACGTACATGTAATTAAGCTTTTAATCTTTTTCCTTAACTCGAGATACCCTTCCCTGTAGAAAAGTTTGGCTTAAAATTTGAGGTTTTGGAAAGTTGTCTTACTAACTCTACTACTGTTTTTCAGAGCTAATTCCGTCACACAATGTGCTGCAGTGGCTAAAGACAAAGGATATAAGTACTTTGCAATTCGGAATGGTGGTAAATGTCTTTCAGGTAGAAACCTTTACTCTGGGGATAAGGAACACGGAGAATTAGACGAATGCTTTGACGGTGAAGGAGGTCATGAAGCCATGAATGTGTACAACATAACAGGTAATGTCTAAGGGATTAGTGGTCTTATTATTCATTCAAACTGATATTTCTCCATTTATGATTGGTTCAAATCCCCCAGTTAATTCTTCATAACCAGCTGGGGCAGACCATGTTTGGAATTGGAAGATTTAGGCAATAACCAACTGATACAATGGATATTTAACAATTATTCTTTGAAATCGAGGTGAATAGTGGCAAAATATTCGCGGCGAGGTAAATATTCCCAAAGCCACTATTCACCGAGATTGAAAAGAATAATTGTTTTAGTATATACACACGAAGTGATCTCAACAAAATCAGAGAGGAAGCCATTAAAAAGTACGATTTGATTGACAGATCAAATCACGCGTAAGTTTAAAAATAGATCTTTGCAGAATTTTCAAACATGGCAATTCACAAGTTTATCATTTCGCAAACAACAGTGTAGCGTAATGGCTTAAATGGAACGGCTAAAAGTTTTAACTGTTTCCTTACTTGAGAAGAAAAGTAGAGCTTTTTTGTTTTCTGTTGACTCGCCAAGTTTATAGCCAAAAGGGTTTGTTGTGTCGTTCTTCGCATGAAGTGCTGACAAAAATGGCGGCTCGGTTGCTCGAGGTAAGACGTCGTCTTCCTGTTTCATTCTTTTTCCTGTTTACTTGAAAACATTTCCTTTTACTTGCAAACATTACTTATTTTACTGGCAAACATTTCCTTTTAAATTTGTTTGTCATAAATAAACTTCAATTTTTCAGCCAAAATTTTGTTGTTAGAAAACGCTGAGTTCACGAAACGGCTCCTTCTACGCGAATACACTAGAGTTGTAAACAATCCATCAAGCACAAAACTCAGCGACAGTAAATTGAAAAACGCCGTATTGAATCCTTCCAAGTACTTTCTTGCCTTAAAAAAAGTCAGCCCTAGGAATTTGTCGACTTTTAAAACATCGTTCTCTTAAAAAAATGGGAAAAACACCGAGCTCACACATTATCCACTCGCTAGGAGGTGAATATTGTTGAATAGTCCGAGATAGCGAACCAATCAGATTGCTTAAATCACCAAGATCACTGAGTGTGTATATACTAATTAATAATACCTCAGCATCAGCTACAGTGGAATCTTGATACAACAAATCTCTATTATAACGAAGTCCTTAGTGTAACAAACGATTTTCTCTGCCCCAGTAATAGTGAAATGTATGAAAGAGAACCTCGATATAAGGAACCCCTGTTATAGCGAACAACATTTTTTTCATTCCGTTGGCCTTCTGTTGTATTGAGGTTCCACCATAATAGTTTCTGCATTTTGAGTGGGTAGGTGATATAAACACAAATTCTAACTTATTTAACACCCCTTATATGTGCTTTAATTGAGGATATCCCAGAGCTAGAAGATTTTGAAGGTGACCTCCTCCTTACAAAGGTTCAGAAAGCTATGATAACACCTTTGCATCAAGATGTGGCTGCCGCGGGAGTCTGGTCCAAAACTCAGTTTATGTGGCATGAAAGAACTGTTCCTTATTTATATTACATCCCACCTGATCTTGGTAAGATCACGCCTTCAATTATATTGTTTTGTCATAGCAGAGCCATCAGCTACGCAGGCTAAAATTTGTGTTTAAAATATTTTACAGGAAACGGTGTTGTAAAGAATAATTATTCATTATATGTTAGAAACAACCTGGTGTGCTTTGCAGTATATGTGGCCATGTTGACAAACTCACAAGTTCCGCACGTGCATGCTGATATAAACTTGTTGGCACAAGTTGGTGGTGAGGCCATATTGTAGTACTGGCATCTAATCTATTATCAACTATGGTAACCCTGTCACAGTATAGCCTTTAACGACATCTGGAACGGTAAAGCCACTCTTACAAATTAAATCAAGTTTTAAAATGTGACCAAGAAGTTTAATAGCAAATTAACAAAATGTCAGCCATGTTTTTTTTTTGCTTGGGCTGGGTTGTATCCATTTGAATAGGCATTAGGCCTAGCTGCCCATTTTGTTACCAGACAAGCTCCCTCTCTGTACAAAGAGAAACATGGGTTTCGTCTGATTATAGAGGCTCACTTAAGTATGCTCGTGTTCCTTTTGACCAGCGATATGTTATATGATTATGTTGTGTGTCCATTTTATTATTGGATAAATTTCTTTCCTTTGTTGCAAATTCATTTTCGTATAATTACTGCCTTGCCAAAGAACAGAGAAGAATAAATTGAAATTTTTAAGAAGTACCAAACGTATGAAATACAGGGTGATTGCTCTTGTGAGCTTGCTCTTGGACTTCATGCTCTGAGATTTCTTTCAAATTCCCTGCTAGTGGAAGTTCTTTCCTGACGTAGTTTTTCATTGGCCTGTGTGGAGTCTATGCATGCTTAAAACTACATGTAATTTATATGACAAGGCCTCTTTAAGTACCCAGGGTGCAAATTGCGATATGGGCAAGCTGTAGCTAGAATGTACTAGCCCAAAATTCATTTTAACTAGCCCTCCTCCCTAAATGTTTTTATGAGCATTGTTGATTGCGGTTCTTTTTGTAATTTTAATTCCCCCCCAAAACTTCACTTTCCCTTTGGGCATGAAAAGAATTCACTATCAGAGAGTAAAATTCATTAGCCTCGAACTATTGGACGCTACTTTCTTTGCATACTGAGGGCGGGGGGCTGGGGATTTCTTCAGCTAGGACACAAAAGGAAAAAAAGAACCAAAAGAAATTCCTAGCTGTTCAATTCCTCACCTGCTAATTGCATATGCCCAGTAAGAATAAAATCTTAGTGACAGCCCTGTATGTTAGAAAGAAACCTCACTTAGTAGGGTTAGAAAAATGGGTTAATTGCTTCTGGGGATCAGTTAAACCCTATAAATAAGCCAGCATAAAAGATGTAGCAGGCCATTTGGTAAGCTTATAGCCAAACAATGAATGAAAAAACATATAGAATGTAAACTTAAAACTCCACCATTTTTTCACCCTTCTCCGGTAAGTGCATGTAATACACAAACATGTAATCATAGAAATCGATTTTTGAAACAAAGTGTGCTTTTGAGGGAGACCAAGGGTAGCCACTGGTTCCCTCTCCACGCTGATCATGAGCCTGATCATTAGTCAGTGATGAGCCTAACAATGTGTCTGTTTTAGGTGTCCCTCTTCGATTAGCCGCATTGATGGTTACCAGCCAATCAAATTAGGAGACCACTGTCCAGCAGGCAGCGTTATTCACGAAATGGGACATACCCTGATATTATGGCATACGCAGTCTCGGCCAGACAGAGACAATTATGTTAAAATAATATGAGGAAATACCCTTCCAGGTAAATGCATTGAAGCTTTCGTCTAATCGAGTAATTGTCTTTGGCAAGTAGGAAGGAGAAGTGATGGCGTCACAAAAACTAAATTTATGAAACTATGGGATTGATTGGTTTTTCCTGTTCCTTCTGGATATGCTAACCTATCCTGTAATTTAACAAATTTGAATTTTTGTGAGTCAACACTGTCTGTGGCTTACCTTCCTGACATAGGGGCACGTAGAGTTGGTGCCTACAATTCCTCCAACTTTTTATTTGACCCACTTTATAGTCGAAACCTCTTTAAGACGGGACATTCAATTCCGGTCCCGTAGAATGTTGTAAGAAAGTTTGCTGTATTCTCGTTTTTCAATAAGTCACCGAGGGATCATTTGCTGTAACTGTCTCACTTCAGACGGTTTAATCTCGCTCTAGCAAGTTTATAACTAATTCAACTTCAACTTCGACTTGTATTTGAATTCACAAATATATTACAATGAATATTTAAGACTGGCCTACAACTGGACTGCGCGAGCAGTCTCTCCTTTTCTTTAGATTTAGTGAGAGGATTGCACGCAAGAAAGCGAGAAGCAAGGGCGGCAGCCCGATATGTCAAGCGTGTGGTCATTTTTGTCTCTCGTGCGTTTCCCCCGGAGGGGCTAACTCTATGGAAAGAGAGAGACTGCTCGTCGTCTAGTTTATAACTCATGCACCCTTAAAGCACCTTGTAAATCTTAACAAAACAATATGCCGTGCCATTGTCATTTCAAAATACGTGATCTCTTTTTTTTCTTTGTTCATGCTAGGTAAATCAGACCAGTTTATAAGCACGGCATTGTTGACTTGCAAAAAATACCGTACGACTATATGAGCATTATGCATTATGGAAAAGGCTACTTCGCAAAGTTGGATGCAAGTAAAAGGCATTATCTTACCACTATCGAACACTAAAGGTAGAAATATCAAAACTCTATTGGCCAGAGGAAGTACCTGACGCCGAGTGATATCTTTATGATAAATACCGCGTATGGATGTCCCGATAAATTTTAATATTAACATTGATTTTTATTTTTTCTGAGGATAATTGCTTCACAAGATGAAGTGCTTTTAGTAAAAATAGGCAATGTCTTGTTTTTTTTTTTTTTTATTGGTAGTTCAAATTACCACACTAAAATACAAGAACAGGCTAGGGGTTTTAAGAACAAAACGAATAAGGATACTGTTAACTGTCGCTCATAAGGCCTTGGCTTCTACATCTTCGTCAGGGGTTTCGAGGCTGGTTTTCATTAGTGATGGAGTCCGAGTCGGGGTCGTAATCAGAAGCGTAAGATTTTACGATCTAGTGAAAACAGCGTTCTGATACCGCTTATGACTCCGTCGCCATAGGTGTACGGGCTGGGGGGTGGGCGGGATGGCGGGGGAGCTGCAGCCCCCTTGAAATGTTGGGTAACTCAGATTTTTTTGGCAGCAAGAGAAGTCTGGGCAAAGCCAGTTTTTAAAGAAGTTTCCATTTTTTTATTATTATTTCGAGGAGATATCTACCTGGAGTTTTGAAAACCGGGTTGCCTGAAATCTTAAGTCAAGTCCAGCACATTGCAGGCAATCTTTCAAAACTTGATTTGCTTAAAGCCCTTACACTTTTAGTGTAAAAATAACAATCTCCCTCTTTAGGACTAACCACCCTCAGCTCTTTACCATGGGCTCCAAATAACTTCCTGGAATTGACAGAAATCAGTGGAAATTCCAGAAAATATGCACGAGGGGGGCAACAGGTTAAATTCCAGGGGGTGTGGTTGTTCTAAAGACTATGCTTTGTGCTTGAGTGCGGATTTTCTGAGTTTTTGTACCGAGGCTTAACCATGTCTTTCAAAGTTCAATGTTTCCCTCAAATTAAGGGGGGTTGTGTCAGGCTGGGTGTCACGTTCTTGTACAGACACAGGGCTATCATCTGGACTGCATTTGGGGTAGCCTAGTAAAATTCCAGGGGGGTGGGGTTGTTGTAAAGTGCGAGTAACAAGGGCCATTAAGGTACCAATCAGTGCGAGAGACTGACATGTTTTAGTAGCCCGGTTTTCAAAAAAACAGGTGTATATATATATTTTCTATTTTATCCTGAAGTCGGCGTGGTAAATCCAGTTAAATCACACGAGACAGTGGTTGCCTAGCATGTGATGAGTTTCTGGTTATTAGTGAAGGGTATCTTATGTTGATTTACATATTTGTAGTTTTTTCATTGTTGGGCACTGTACTGCACTGCACCAGCTGGTGTGGGGTATTTCCAGTCTTGAATTGACACGAATCAACTTTCTAGATTCTCTCAGGTTGTCCTAACTGTTACTGGAGCCATCGCTTTACTTCAGAGAACGTATTTTACACAAAAAGTAATCAGTCGAATGAAATTTAATCCAAGGCAGTTCATGAGCTTTATTGAATCGACTTCTTGGGATGAAACCTTGTGTATTTACTGGCGTTTCTAGTCTTCCTTGCTAACTTAAAGCTACTCAAACTGATGCGCTTTAACCACAGAATCTACTTGTTTACAAAGACTCTTTCGAAGGCGGCGTTACCTTTGTTCTCTTTCCTTGTAGTGTTTTTAGTCTTTTACATTGCTTTCAGCTTTCTGTTTTATTCCATCTATGGAAGCGGGCTACCTGAGTACAGGTCCTTTCTAACTACAATTGAAACGTTGTTCAGTGCTGTGATGGGAGGTTTTGATTTTGAAACAGTTCTGGCGAACAATCGTCTGTTGGGTCCAGTTAGATCTTCTTTTCGTTTCAGATGGTTATGCTCATGATTTTAATAAATATGTTCTTGACAATACTTATGGACTCATTTGCGGAGGTGCAAGCAGACGAACACTTGAAATCTAAAGACTATGAAGTCGTAGAATATATGCTTCGGCAGTTTAAACACTTTTTTGTTAAAACAGGCAAGGTTGGGAGTGTGTCTGAAAATGATGCCTCATCTGGACGCGAGGTTAATTTAACTAGAGCTGCTAATCGCGCACAGTCAGACAGCGAGAGTAATGCATGCGACTCAACAGAAGGAAACTCAGTGTCAGAGGTAAAAGAACAAACTGCTGTAAAACATGATCATGGATCATTTTCGTCCCTTAGGACCCTTCTCAACGCCACACACTTTAGACGCGATGCATATCAAGACGAAGAAGACGTCTCATCCACTTGGCCCTCACTTTCGCTCCCAAAATTCCATACACATAATGTGGATAATGAAGAGCCATTACCATACCCGGGTGAACCAGTGGGAGATGAAACTGAGGGACAAACCACTGATATTCCTGCAGAATCCGATCACGACTCCTCCAGGAAGCCTTTTATAGTCTCAAAAAGTGGTGATGATTATTGTGGAAGCGATAGTGAGAGTCAGTACGCACTAACGGAATGTTCGCAAAGTAGGCGTTGTTCAACTATTAGTTACCCTTCACTGGATTTAGAAAGCTCAACAAAAACGAACTGTGATTCCTGTTCCTCCGTTGAGAGAGTCGAGACTCCGAGCGTACAATCTGAGCAGAACGCCGGATCTAGCGCCTCCCATTACTACGAACTACTCAATAAGGCGATCGATGAACTCATTGTTAAAGAAGAAAAGGAATTGGAAAATAAACACGTGGCACTGGATCCAGACCTTTATTATTACTACGAATTGTTAGAAGACACGGTAAGGGGTCGAGAACGAGAACAAGACACGTTGTCAGAAGCTTTCTCCTTTACAAATTATAAAGTTTGCTCCAATTTCATCAATGCGCAGGAAAATCAAGCAATGGATTGGGAAAGTTGTTTGGAAATTGAAGCAAAGGTTGCCGATTTGCAAAGCATGTTTGCCAACGTAGTCATGAGCGATCTTCAGGAAGATGAAGCATTTGAGCAGCTGCTCAAACTGTACATAAGTGTTCTGAACGAGTTCTCCTTTGAGCCAGATTCTGCGACTATGGAAAGTAAACTTGTAAAAAGGTTTGAAGAGAAGGCAAAGTGGAAGTACACTAGACACATGTACACGCAAGCATAACAAGAAGAGTAACTGTTGGGTTTCTTAAGACATTTCATTACTAACAGCCATTTGCGAAGGGTCGGTTGAACTTTACACATATAACCTGACACATTCGCTGACGTGGTCTGAAGTTGAAATTCGCTATCATATGAACGAAGCAGATCAAGCTGAAATTTTGGGAAATTGTTGCAAGGTGTGAGTGTTACGTACCAAGAACATGCAGCGACTCCATTTTGCTGCCGTTCAAGAATAAGGGCTGCAGTTAACAATAATAGCTGCTGTAAATCCCCAAGACTGCTTGCTGTCACTTAAGAATATAAAACCGTTAAAATTCTTACACTAATGCTAAATGGCGAGATCGTAAAACACAAAATAAGTAAATGAACAGATTAAGTAATAAATAATTACTAGGGACTGCACAGCAACATGAAATATATTTGTTTGACTTATTTGACGAGACTCCGGTAAACGTTTTGCTTGGGGTGGCTATATCTCCGTTTTTGTACGCCCATTCGGCGTTATCAATACGTTCCAAAAAGTCAGAAGTAGACATCGCTTGCCAAACTGACATTTTATTCAGCATAATCAAGCATTCTAAAAAAGGGCGGAGTTGAAACAAGTAGCAATTATGGTATTAAACTAAATGTCAGAAACAAAATCTGACCTACCGTCTAAAATTCTCTGAAACAAATAGTTTTAAAACATTTTACGTTCATACAATTTAAACTGTCACTACTGATTTTTTTTAAGGATTTAATCCCCAATTCGCTACCTGTGAAAATGTGATTAAGTTTTCACTTGGCTTTGAAAATCTAAATGTCCATGCTCATGATTAACACGCAAAACG